ATGCCAAAAGAAGCTATGTTTTTAAATTTCAAAAGAGTTTATTTGAGTGAAAGTGAAAATTTGAATTTCTATCTCTGTGATAAACAAAAACTTAAAGAATTTTATTACCCAATGCTGAAATGCATAAACCACTCATAATTATTAAAATTATCTTCTGCACAGAATGAAGGCTATATTCAAAGCTAATTACTCAATATATATAATTGGACTCAGAACATTCATTAATGCAAAGCTTGCCACATTATCAGAAAGTAATCAGAGCAATAATATAATATAACAAATATTAAGCTGACCTCTTCATAACGCCAGTTAAATAATGTGATTAAAACAAAACAAGTGTCTTTATACAGCATAACAATTTATTTAAGTGCAAGATAAATAAATTTTGAAATAATTATGCATATTGCGTATACGCAATGTTGATAAGCTGAAAGACAAGCATCAACAGCAGGTGGGCAGACAATTCCCAGAGCAGTTTATCAGCACGCAACTGGGCTGGCCGGCAACGCCTATCCCATGGCTGTTGATTTTCATGAAAATTATGGCCATGAGCGCTCGCCACGGGCGCACTAAAATGGTTTCTTACTCGCTCACACTGCCTCTCTCTGTCCCTCTCTCAGCCACATACAATATATGTATGTATGTTTGTGCAAATTGTAATTTAAACATTTTGGAGTTGAGCCAAGTAATAATTTGTTGTCCCGACTGTTGCCCGTCGAGGCCAGGCGAATATCGCATTTTCCGCCGTATTCATTGTAGTTTTGTGCTTCGAAATTGATGCGCATCGTTGCTCGAAAAAATACAAGAAGGAAGCCAAGGAAATGCCGTGCTTATCGCATCCTTTTGGCTCTGGCTCTGGCTCTGACTGTGACTACTGTGACTGCTCCCGGAGAATAGAGCATTTTATGGCACTCGAACAACATGAAAGTCAAGTGTTGCAGTTGCGCGCAATTATTCGAATCCCCCTTTAACCTAAACCCAGTTTCTCCCTCCTCTCTCTCTCTCTCTTTCTCTCTCTCTCCCTCTCTCTGGCTGCGTTGCTGTTGTGGGAATTTCTTTTCGAATCGTTTGGCGCAATAAATTCTATTAAAATGCAATTTGAAGGGTTTGTGATTTTAAATAATGCCAAGACAGTGCTGGGTTAATGCAGCAGGCAGTTCTTTCAGCTGTTATCCTTGCCAATGTTCGTTATCCCTGCCCACCTCCCAACCGCTCACCAGAGATTTCAACCGTACCACAAATTCGTTTTTCTGATTCTCATTTCGCTCTCCCTGCCATTGCAGATTGTAATTTATGCAAGAATGCTTCTCTAGGTGCCACTCGGTAATCCAATATCTCTGCCTCTGTGTGTGTTTGAGTGTGTTTATGCTATTCACAATATTTATAGCTTATTCACAGCGGTGCCTGCACGTCTAGCTAATTGAACAGCCATTGTAGAACGCTATCAGTGCAAAAATAGACTTCGAACAACAAATCGATAGCTTTGCTATTATAGCAGAAAGTATCAAGGGAAATGCATCTATCTTGAGCAGATTGAGTTACACGTCATTAACTAGCTCTATATGTTAACTTAAACATTTTATTTTTGCTGTTATTTTGGTCAGTCTTGAATGTTACCGTTTAGGGCAGAAATTTGTTAAAAATTATTTACTATTAACGTAACGTATTAATAGTCTAAATATTATCAATAACCTGAAGCTTACATTGCTAAATTTTGTCTTAAGTATACTCTTCGAACAGAGGTGGTTTGATTTCAGTGGACAAAAGGTGACTAGAAATGAGCAGGGAGGAAATTCGACAGTTCATAAGGAGTTAATATTAAATCAGATATCAATTTGACACAAAAGCCGACATATATATGTCGGAGATTGAGTCACATTACATTCTAACAGCTATCTTTGTCAGTATCTCTCGTGCGTGCAGCTACAACTTCAACTCACAGCCTGACAGCGACACAACAGAAACATGAATTTTGATACATACTCCGCTGCTAAATGCAGAGTATCACATCATATTATATTAGCAACGCAACATATATTTATATAATTAATATATATATTACTGTGTAAGCTCTCTTGAAACTCAATCAAAAAAATCATTGTTTCCCTTTTTGCTGGTCTACAGACTTGCTACTTTCAATATTTTGGCATCGAGTTGCTGAAATAAAGCCAGAAAGTTCTTATTTGGCAATGAATAAATCTGGCAATAAATACAAATTTGCTGCAATAGCGCAAAAACGGTAGACGTAAAAAACAGCGTATTTCATTTATGACAATGTCGCATTGTAATTTATCAAACGAAAAAAAAATGGCCATATGTTGACTGATAAAACATAAACGCAGCATAAAAGCAAATTTGAATGCGGCACAAAAACGTACAATTGTGAATTGAAAATTGTTGCATGTTGCATATGTTGATGTAATAAATATATGTATTTGCTGTTGCAATTGAAATTTAATTCGATTTCATTGTGCGACTCAAGGCGCACCATTTTTTTCATTTCATCAGAGGCCAGAGCTGAATATTATTAATACGCCCCATAAGCCCAATAAATGCATCGCATTATATGGTTAAGGTTGTATCTGCTGCGCTGTCCGTGTCGCTGTGCAGTTTTTACTGTTATTGTCTTATTGTAATGATCATTAAAATTGGCATTGTTATGAGCCTGACTATTGTTGTTCCTGCTGCCATCGCACAGACATGGAACGAAGAGCGCAACAGCAACAGCAGGCAGCAGCTGCAATGTCAGCTTAATAATTACAGCACACAGACGCAGATACAGACTCAGACACACACACACAGAAGTTGCAGCTGCACTTTTAAAGCGAAAACCCGGTAGAGTAAAGCGGGTAAAAGGAGCTGAAAAGCTGGCAGCTCGTCGCTGAGGCTGGGATTGGGACTGGGGCTGGGGCAAACTCACAACCATTTGCACGTCGTCAGCGTCGACACATTAAAATAAATGAGACTATGCCGTAAGCAGATACTCCTGTTGTTGTTATGGTTGTAAAAATAGCCGAGCATTTTCACGTTTACCATGCGAAATTACGCGCAAATTACAATGCATAAAAGGCATCGAGCAGCATTTGGTTGAGCTGAGCTGCGTCTCTCGGCGGATCTTCTGGCATATTCGTGCGCATTTGCATTGCATAAATGAAAAGGTAGTGCAGGGTTGGTTAAAACTTGCCAATTGGCAGACTGACCTGCCTGTCAGCTTCGTCAGCCTTAATTACATTGCTCAACTTTATTGCAGTGCCAAAGGGTCGCGTTCAGTTGCTCGTTAATATTGTTCAAAATGTAAATTGAATACTTTGGAATCAGTCAGATTAAATGTTTCAAACGAAGAAGATTGTATGTATGCATCTATATGTAAATGAAAAACAGCAATATGTGTGTGTATTTGTGCGGGAAAATAAGTTTATTGTCCTTATGGTGGAACAACAAATAGATCAAAGAGAAACTTGTTTGTACGCGATGCTCGTTGATTGCTTGAATACTCGACTATAGTGCAAAGGACGAGCTCTACTGCGGTTAAGCTCACTGTTTTAAGGATTCATACTTATCAAAACAGTGATTAATAGTTAATGATATTAATGAAAGTGAATAAAGCTAGCATTTGCTGTGTGACACAATACTTGACTTATTTAAAATACCTCAGCAGAAAACCTGAACTAAATTATATTCTGGTAAGGTTTACGCAATGTCACAGTCAGTGACAGCTGATGAGGGATCTATAAACTGATTTCCAGAAGGTAAAATAGAATTTGCACAATTTTAAGCGATAGACAGCTCTCAGGGAATCAGAGCGAAACATTATATCACTAGAAAAAAATCATATTCAGCTAGCTATAAATAAAAGCGATATATGCTTTTCAAATACTTGTGTTACTTTACTCCCTTTTAGTAATCTTTGTTCCTACCTTAGCAGCATGCCCTTCATATATATATATCCTCTATATACTATGAGCTCTACTGCTTCAAGTTAAATAGTTCATATTTATGCTATACTGCACAGCATTAAAGGATCTCAAAGTCTGCTTTAAAAACTGTCGTATAAACCGTAAACCATGACCCTAACCCAATAAACCACTTTTGGTGGGTGTTCGTTACGTTGACTGTTGCTGTTGCTGTTGCAGTAGCTGCTGGCTTCAATTTCACACCGCCAACAAGTGACAACCAAACGAACAAACACACACACACACATACATTAATATACATATACGTTTACTCTAGCAACGCATCAAAGTTGGCTGGCAGCTTGCCACAAAAATGCTGCCGGCTACAACAAAAACAAAACGGAAGTCAACAAAGGCTCAATGGCTATATGCGAACAACAACAAACAGTTGGCGAGAAATGTGATCATAACGTGGGCGTCACACGATTTAACGCCCCGAGAGTAGACTATGAATTTTTATGATGAAATTTGCCGTTTTTAATTTGAACGCGCCTCAAAAGCAAAAGAAAAAAATCCACAAAAAACAAAACAGTCAAAAAAAAAAGAAATAAAAATACGCAGAAAACTGTCAACAGGCAGCAATCGTTGAGGGCATGGCCTTGCTTGGCCCTGGGCAGCCGTGACACCTTCATGGTGCGAAAGAGAGCAACAGCATGTCCATGTCAGTCATGTCGCCTCTGCCTCTCCTTGGGGACTGCCCTAGTCGGATATTTATGGCAAAAATGCAAAATTAATGATGTGTGACTTGAAAATTGTCGCAAAAAATGTGCGAAATTAAATTTGGCGCCCGAAGCTCAGGAGCCAAAAGCCAGCGAAGCGTTAAATTTCACCGCCGCAGCAGAAAATTCAATAAAAATAATTCAGGCCCAGGCATCGCATTACATTTATTTAGCCAGGCGACGATATTTTGATATCTTGGCTAAATTGAATGCGACAGGCATTGTCAGCTCTTGAACCTAACAGAGATCAGTTTAAAATATTTAAGCTTGTTCTATGATAAAGCAGATTTTGAGATACTTCAAGAAAATTAAAAAAAGTATCTGTTGTGTACTCAAGTAAGAAATGGCACAGCCACATTTGCTTCCATAATTCTTAATTTTTATATAAATCATACCAAATAGACGCTATAATATTAGTGATATGAACAATAAAAATTTCTGGACCTGTATTACAACTTTTGATGATGTTATAATACGATAATCATAGCTTTCTGGGGACATTCTCCTTAAATTGTCCCACAATATTGCCGGGTGGGTTATAATTACAAACCACCCAAGTACGATCCGCTCTGTAAGACAAATTGAATTAGAAATCAAGTTGAATCTAAATGGAGGTGTTTTGATAGTCACCTGCGCGCGACACCAGTTCCTATCTCTCGGCAGGCCTTCCAGATCAGTTGCGTAAAATGACCAGAGGTGGGCGTGAAATCGGGTTTATCAAAGTTAAAAGCATTTATCTCACGATACCACATTTCCACTGGTAAATCGCCAGTAACATCCATGCCGCCAGACAAAAATATATTCTCGCCATACTTGGGCTTCGGCCGATGTCCCATGATGTTGTTATCCCGCAAATGCTGCGAATTATAAAGAAATAATCAGAATTAATAGTTGTGTAGAAGACTTCTCACATTGGCCCAGGCTTGAGCAAGTTTGGTTAGCTCACTGCTAACGGTCAACGAAGGACACCCATGCATATTGCGAAACTTGTTGGTAGTTTCGAAGACATCCCTGATGAATTTTTCGTTGTTGGCCTTCGTATCCTGCCCGAGTGGGCCAGGCGTGCGTGCATGCGTTGTTGGTATTGGAGGCGGTCTTCTAGCCATCTAAATTTATAGATGCAGCCAGGTCCAGAAATAAAAATCAACTAATTCTAAAGACTAAGCAATTTTCATAATTTTTAATTTACTTTTGACAGTCGAAACATGAAAACCAAAATAAAACTGTAGGCTATCTAAATGAACTTATCGACTATAGAACATGAGCATGAATAGATGTAGATATTTAAGTACCACAAAACATGGACATTGCATTTGTATCCCTGGAAACAAGCAAGTCAGTTACGCCCGACTGGAACGTTCATTTACATTTCTCTTTTACTTATAAGCAAATAGAATTTGGCCTTCAGTTTTCAGCTGAAACAACTTTTGCAGTGCTTGTTAAAAGTATTGGAAAACTTTATTTTCAACTTTCATAAAGTTGTATTTAGATTTTCTTTTTTTTTGCTTTCATCATAGGTTTCATAACTGCTGAATGTTGTGCAACTAATTTACTCATTAAAAACTTTATTTCACTCCATCAATTAAATTACTTAAAATATGCGTATAACTCTTTTAAAGCAGCCGAGTCCATGCAACAGAGATCCATGTTTTGTGCCGTATTTGAGGGGTATTAACATTTTGATTGATATCCAGCAAATGGAACTGGGGGTTGCGCATCATTCAGCCATAGATTAGATGTTTTCCAAGCGCCAAGTGACGAGAAGCTGTCAGCTGCGCATCCCACTCAGATATCAGTCACTGGCAGCCGTGTAATGATTGGATTAACCCACATGACGTATGAGTGATGTATGAACATTTGCATTAGCATCGTCTCGACTCGACTCGACTACGGTTATTAATGAGCTGTTGTTTTTTTTTTACGTCTACGCTGTGGCTGCCACAGCTGGGCGACACTAATTGCCAATTGAGTCAAGTAAAGTGACATGAAGTCAGCTTCCGATGTCTGAGCCAACATTTCGAAGAAATATATTATTCGGCTGTAAATGGAAAACGAAGGACAATGTGAATTGCACAGAGAGTTTCGATTGTCAATGTTGGTGTAGTTAAATATAAATATATATACATATAGTTATATCAGCAAAAGGAATCATTAGTCATCATAAAAATCTGAAAAATTGTTGCTTCAACTATTAATCTAAATTTTTTTGAGATTTATATAAGTTAATTTATCATCAATAATTAGCTCTCATTAGATTAAGCTTAAGCACATTAATATCATATTATCGTAGTTTTTCATACTTCTGTTGAGTTCGTTCATAACTTTAGATGCGTTTTTTCAGGCTAAACATGTATTGGAAAATATTTACCAAACTACACATGTTGACTACATGTTACAAGAGTTGTCAGTGACAGGAGCAGGAATGTCAATGAGCTGTCATATCATACTCAACTGAGTCAACAGACATTGAGCCACTTCTTATGCAGCAACCAAAATAAAACTTCTTTTCTTGGATTGCCTTTCAAAAAAAAAAAAGATTTTCACAAAGTGCACACTGTTTGAAAGTCGTAGTTGAAGATAGAAAGACTTAAAAAATATATGCTATATTTCTGCAAAGGACATTCACAAAACCAACCTTATAGATTCTCACTGACTTATAGACTTGATTACTAGACAATGACATATTTATCTTAAAACAACTCATATTTCAATCAAGACATCCTACACTTTTTTCATTTAATTTGATTATTTATTCCTTTTATATATGCATGAAAATTGAATTCATTTCGCATTTCATTTTTGTTGCACAGGGTTGGTTTCATGACGTTGATCGGTTTAATTGAATGACAGCTGATAACTCACTTTAAGCTCAGCTCGGCTGTAATGTGTGAGTTAACTCGCCCATATCGCTGGCTCAAATGTGATTCACATCGATGGACATTCACAATAGATTTGCGGCACGGCAGGCCGCAGTCAAAGCGTAAAACCAAAGCGAACGTTACTTTTTGTCGATTTAATTAAATTCGCAAATTTGGTTTTTCGCTCATTTATATATACATATATCTACATATTGTAAATGCATATATATGTATATATATACAGGCATTTATGTGTATATATGGATTGGCAAACATTTCGTTTTTACACTGCGTTTTAATGACAACCGCAACATCTGTTGCCGGATGCACTCGATTGCATATGTACGCACGGCCATTGTGCGGCAATTCTACGGGTCTGTTCAGGCATTAAAAATGCTCAACAATTAAAGCTAACTGCACAAAAATGCCATTATACATCTCTTCAGTCTTTTTTTTTTGTTTTGAACATAAATGAAATTGGCTCGCTGTGAATAACAAATGTGCCCATGGACGTAGCAATACATCTTCCCAACTCAGTGTTTAAATGAACAAAGACAAACTATGAACTTGACTATATTGCGGACTGCACTATGAGTTATTGATATATGGATATATATTTCGAGCTCAATTCCACTTTAAGCAGAAAACTGCTGATGCTCTGAGGACCCAAAAATTTGAAAACTTTTCATAAATTTTAAATTTGTAAATAAAAAGTTGAAAATTAAAAAATTAAAATAAATATTAATATGTTGTGGTTTGAAGGCCCAAATAATGTTTTAAGTTCCTTATTCAGAGTTGAAGGATTTAAAATTATTAGAGCAAAATTTAATTGATTTAAATATATAAAATATTTGAAAAAATTTTATCATTGATGCCTCTTTTTTATAGACCTTTTTGGGGCATTGCCATCAAATTGGATCATGACTTTACTTTAAAACAAAAGACTAAGCCAAAAACGCTATGCAACTAAATTCTTTGTAAATATATAATTTAAATTTATATATTTTTATTTAGAAATTATGTCTAGCCATCTACTCCTTTAGCCTTGCTTTGCTACTTAGTTTGAGACGGACAACTTTGAAATTTAAGTTGAGTACTTAAAATATACAGTTGAACCTTGACTTTACTTTACTAACGAGAAAATCTAAAGAACCTTTTATTTTCGAATAAAATTATACAAGCCAATTTCGACATTCGGTCTAAGCACATAAGCAAAGATAAATCCATGAACAACATCTAACCATGAGAGTAAAACAAAAACTAAAAATCTCTTGAATTTTTGCTAAATCAACTCATGTAAGCAATTGCAACTGATTGCCAAGCTATAATCTATAAATCCCTTTAGATCTCTCCCTCTCCCTCTCCCTCTCTCTCTCTCTCTGCATGCATTTATATGCAGAATACAGCAGTAAAATTGAAATCTCACTCACTCACTGAAAAGCACTTTCTACAGCTACAACCGGAGCGCGTATAGACATTGTGTGACGGGACGCGCACTTTTACGCAAGCTGACGGCATCAGAGCTCAAAGCCAATAAAAATGCTGCCTGGCACTTAGCTGCAGACGAGGGCTATTCGAGTATGGTTACGGATATTGAGCTGCTGCTGCTAGCCGCTAGCTTCACTTGTTAACCAGCTCAATTGAATAGACAAACGGGGGCCAGACATTTGGCGCGTATCAAAAGGATCAGGAAAACAGCAAATGAGAGCCGGAACTGCAACACCTTATACTGCCCAAAGGGGCTGGGCAGTCAGCAACAGGCGAGGCAGCTACAGTTACTGGCATCGTTGGTAATCCACTTTGGGCGCATTCGCTTCTTGCTGCGTTCATTTGAGCTGCCAAACATTTTAGCTTTTATGGCCCAAAGGGGCAAAAATATAGCTGGCCGCCTGGCTGGCTGACTGACTATGCTGTGTAGGCAGCACACACACACACACTCACACACACACGTTTCTTTCACTCGCCTGGCGCAAATGCAATTTCCAAAAATATTCTGCGCCACTCCAAAAAGTTCGCTACGAAAAACAAGGTGCATGGCACATGAAAATTTGTTGTAGTTTTTCCATTTTCTTTTTTTTTATCGGCGGCGGCTTTTTTGCTGCTGCGCCAAAGTCGCTGGCTGGAAAAACGCTGGCAAACATTTTTCCGGACATGTGCGAATGGGAAACCGTAGCCCTAAATATATTCACAAGCATTTTTATTTTTTTGCTGCTGGCCTAAAACTTTTAAATGTCGTAAACGCTTTTGAGCATACCAATTCCGTTTTTCCGTTTTTAGACAGCTGTCAATAGAAGTTCGAATATTTCAAATAGCACTTGCCAAAGCCCTTTTCAAGTGAAGCCCTTAACGCTTGCAAGTCAACTAACAGTACTTCGACACACTCAAATTTATCATGCTAGCAGATGATGAAGGGCAAGCTACATGTCGTATTGAGTATCCCTAGAGTCGGACATCTTCAACTTGTGCTTAAAAAACACAAATGAAGGTAAATTTTTAGACCAACAAAGAATAATGAACTTCGACTGAATATATCTAATTGACACGAATTTATGTGTTATTTCAAAATAAGAGAATCATACTGATATACAGATAGGCAGCGGAATAGACGAACAGAAGAGCAGGTAGAAAGGTGAACAGGTGGGTAGATAGCTAAGTTGATCTATCTTCTATTCAAACATATGTATACTTTAGGGGATTAGCCGTGCCTACTGGGCTCTGTATCTATATTTGTCTCTCTCTCTAGTTCTGTCGCTCTTACTTTAATTCTTGCTCTTTCTCTCTCTCTGTCTGTCATTTTCTTTTTATCTCTCTTTTTCTCCTCCTCTCTTTATCTCTCTCTCTCTCTATGTCTCTCTCTCCCTCTCTCTGCCTGTCTCTTCCCTCACCCTCTTCCTTAAATGCCCCTCTCCTTATCATTTTTCTGTCTTTCTTTCTGTCATTCTCTCCCTCAGTCATCCCTCTCTGTCTCTTTCAAAAAGGTTTTCTACCAATTAAGTGAATTGATTGTGCAAGCACATCTATTCATAGTTTACTCTAATTTGCTGAAGAATTTACTCACAAATTGCAATTTATGAATATTTATAGTTTTATCAAATTGATATTTAAATTTAACAGACTTCTTGATTTATGTGCACGTTGGAGCTTGGGATTATGATTTTAATAAATTTGTTAGAGATTGCAAAAGTTTGCTATTTCGTTCATTTTATGTTGCCGGCTTAGGAAATTGTAAAATAAATTGAAATACGAGACAGACATTTATCATGGAAGTGCCATGACAGCAGCTGAGGCAGATTTCCAGTTGAGCCCTGAAGGAAGTGACTCGAACGCTGCTTCCCACCGACGCGTCGGTCTGCGACACAACATAAA